CTGTCCCTCAGCTCTTCAGCTCAAGGCTAGCACTCTACCACTTGAGCCACAGCACCACTTCCGGCTTTTTTCTTTTTATTTATGTGGTGCTGAGGAATCGAATCCAGGGCCTCATGCATGCAAGGCAAGCGCTCTACCACTGAGCCACCTTCCCAACCCAGTAATGATTATTTTTCTAAACAAATGTGGAACTCTTGTACATGAGCATTCAGGACATGTTTTCTAAATTTTTCTTGAGAAAACATCTGAAAGGCTGGAGATATGGTTTAGTAGACAACGGAGGCTCTTGTCTCAATCTCTAGCATCCATTAAGAAACAACTCCCTCCCCCCAAGACAACAACATACTATAGAGATAAAAGGAAAAAAAATTTGGGAGCCAGGAGTATCTTAAATTATGAACAGGGAATAGGTAAATTGTAAAACAATGTTAAACATGTCCCTTCTCACACTTTTTAAACAACTTTATTCATGAGTGTAATAAAATAAGAAATGTGAATGAGGCAGCAACTGACACTATCAATATCACTAGATGGATATGACTGACTAGAAAACAGGTGCAACAAGAAAAGCAGCCATTGTTCAGGGCCCTACATATGCTATAAGAGAATTCTTTATAGTGATGCCAGATCTTTAGGTGCCTCCAAATCAGAAATGAAGATCTTAATGTTATAAACTACAGACATTTAAATGTTGGTAACACTTTAATAAAAATGATGCTATGATCATAAACACAAAACATATGCAATACTGTGTCAGTATGCATATACTCTACAAAGTTATGTACTAAACTGTTAAATCATTTTTAATCTCTAAAGGGTGACAGTCATGATTCTTGATGATTTTAACATGATATATTTCTAGTGCAAATAAAAAAATTTCACTTTAGAAAAAAGATAACAAAGCTAGTCATTAGTTATTAAATTTCATAGTCTATACATTATTGTTTCTATCAAAAAATGGCACCATTATAATGAAATATGAAAATAGTGTCATTAAAGCTAAAAGCATAAGAATCAGAGAAAGTTGTCATTCCACAGGGGAAAAGATCTTGCTATTAGTAATGATGATTTAAGGTTTAATTTGTAACAGAGCAAAAACCACAAAATATTTCAGTAGACTTTCAAACTTGAAATTATTACATTATTACATTAACTATTACAGCTTCACACACACACACCAATTAAGTGTCTTAATATGCATGTTTAGAGTATTAACCACCAAAGTCTTAGCCAGGACGCAAACTTACTGTGATTTCAGCTGAACCATTCACAAAAGGAAACTCAAGTGTTCTAACTTTCCCAATGAAGAGTGGGATATCTATATCCTCCTCATTAAAACCTTTAATGGTAGCTACTACAGTGCCAACCAGATTCATTCCAGTATGATTGCCATAATTATCCTTAAAATAAAGAACAGAAAATAGGTAATTAGAAGACTGGGTTAGAAAGCAAGTACAAATCAGAAAAAAAGTCCGATATATAGCTCCAGCATTAAGCCATTTTGACCTTTCTTAAATCAACAAATTCAGTTCTAAGTTTGTGTGTTTCACATACGGAAAATAGTTCTACTCAGCAAAAACAAAATAAAAACAATAGAAAGTAAGAGCCATTGTCTTAGACTGAAGTCTCTAGTGCTTGTTTTGTTTTTGTTTTGCACGCACTTTGATTGTAAAATTTCATAGTATGTTTTTAAAAAGTGCTTAAACTCAGTGCTGGTGGCTCATGTCTATAATCCTAAACTACTCAGGAGGCTGAGATCTGAGGATCAAGGTTCAAACCCAGCTTGGGTAGGAAAGTCAGCAAGACTCTTATCTCCATTTAACCAGCAGTGGAGCTTTGGCTCAAGTAGAAGTTTTGAGCAGAAAAGCTCAGGTATACTGCCCAGGCCCCGAGTTCATGCCCCAGGAGACAGACTGACAGACACACACACACACACACACACACACACACACACACACACTCACGCACATAGAGTGCTTAATAGCAAAAAGGTACTATTAAACTTGCACATACTTATTCTTTTTTTTTTTTGGTCGGTCATGGGGCATGAACTCTGGACCTGGGCACTGTCTCTCAGATCCTCAGCTCAAGGCAAGCACTCTACCACTTGAGCCACAGCGCCACTTCCAGTTTTTTGGTGGTTTATTGGAGATAAGAGCCTCTCGGACTTTCCTGCCCAGGATGGCTTTGAACTGTGATCCTCAGATCTCAGCCTCCTGAGTATCTAGGATTACAGGCATGAGCCACCAGCACCCAGCTGAACTTTATACAATGTTTGTGCATAATTGTTAACCACAGAAATATTTGTGAAGGACAAGTTAAGAACCTCACTTGGTGCTAGGAATGATGTCTTGAGGCGCCTGCCCCAGGACACATGAAACAGGTGACAAGGGAGCATGACAACGGAGAAGTAGCCCAGGTTATATGGTCTTACTGACCATGTCTTAAGAAATAAAAGACCAGGACTGAGAAGATGGCTCAGTGGTAGAGTGCTTGCCTTGCATGCATGAGGCCCTTGGTTCGATTGCTCAGGACTCCATAAGCAAAAAGAAAAAAGCAGGAAGTGGCACTGTGGCTCAAGTGGGAGAGCTCTAGCCTTGAGCTGAAGAGCTGAGGGACAGCGCCCAGGCCCAGAGTTCAGGACCCATGACCGGACCTGCCCTCCCCCCCCAAAAAAAAAAGAAATAAAAGACCAAAGATTAGTGATATGGCTCAATGGTAAAGTATTCCCCTAGCATGTTGCAAGGCCCTAAAGGTTCCTTTGCCACCAGCAAAATTTTAAAACAAAAATGACACAAAAACGAAAGAAACATAGGTCACATGGTTTCCCTTATCTGCAATAACTAGTATATGTCTGAGACAAGCAAAAAAGGTCAGATAAGTTGATGTTAGGTGAAATGAACCCCAAGGTAAGTATTCAAATGTGTTTTCTTTCTTGCGATTGTTTCTAACATGTTTATAAGATGATTTCTTTGTTGCTTTGTATAACCCTTGCTTTCATTATATTTGATGTTGGTATAATTTGTGGAGGGGAAGAGAAAAAACAAATTATTTAAATAGATACAGGTGGATCCACTGCAACAATGAGATGTACAAGTCATTATGTCAAAAAACGAACTTTACAACTTTGGTGGAGGGGGGGGATGGGAAGGGATGGGAAGGGGAAACAAAGGAGGAGGCAACAATGCTTGATAAGAAATGTACTCATTACCTTGCCCATGTAATTGCAACCCTCTGTATCATATTTTCACAATAAATAAATGAAATAAAGTAATAATAGAAAACATTTAAAAAAACAAAAAAAAAAGAACCACTTGTCTAAAACAGAAAAAATAAAATTTAACTAGGGCCAAGTATGGTGGAGCCATGCCTACAATCTCAGCTAGGTGGGAGATAAAGACAAAAGAATTAAGGTTCAAGTCTTGCCCAAGCAAAAATGTTACCGAGACACTATCTCAAAAAACAACAACAACAATGTAAAATGACTGGAGAAACATTTCAAGTTGTAAAGTGATTGATTAGCAAATGATGGACCCCAATTTCAATTCCTCATAGTCCAAAGGGGGAGGGGAATGGAGGACCTTAAGAAAACTATCTCTAATCCATGTACTGTGGCTCAGGCCTATAATCCTAGTTACTCAGAAAGCTGAGATCTGCGGATCAAGATTCAAAGATGGACTAACCTGAGCAAGAAATTACGTGAAACTCCTATCTCCAATTAACCACCAAGTGGAACTGTGACTCAAGTAGTAGAGTGCTGTTCTTGAACACAAAAGCTCAGGGACAGTGCTCAGGCCGAGTTCAATCTCCAAGACACACACAGACACACACACAGACACACACACACAACATCTGTCTATACCCTTATGTGAACTGGAGATTGAGAAATCAATGTCATTCATAAACATTGACAATATACTTAAGGAATAAGAAAGTATAGGAACATAGTATAAAGATAGAAAGCTTTATTCATTTTGTATAATTTCTTAGTACATTTGCAGTGATTTTATGTATGTTTGAACTCTATTCATATACAAGTACAAATATTCGATCTAATTATAATAACCAGTGTGCATGTGATTATCAGAACTTTTTTTTCTTGTTTCTCTGTAATTCTGGAAGAAGTTAAACATTACCGTAATACTGAGATGCAAGTCTCTGACCAAGGTCCTACTGGCAATAGAGCGAACATTAGAAACAGCAGGAGTAGCTGGCTGGATTTCAGGAACCAACTTCATAGGCAGATTCGGTAGGACATCAACTATAACCTTATAAAAAGAAAGAATTCTGATTAAAAAATGTATCAATATTATGCTTTACTATTTGAGAAGAGAAAAAAGAATGATGGCATATACTATGTGAAATGTTACATTCTAATATTTAACTTTTTAATTTGTGTTAAAAATGTCAGATTTTTTTTTTTTTGATGGTACTATAAGTTTGAATTTAGGGATTCAGTCTTGTTGGTTAATTGTTTATTACTTAAGCCAGGTCCTCAGTCATTTTGGGTTTAGGGTTTTGTTTTTTTGTGATTTTTTTTCGGGGGGGGGGTGTCTGGTCGTGGGGCCTGAACTCTGGGCCTGGGTGCTGTCCCTCAGCTCTTCATCTCAAGGCTAGCACTCTACCACGTGAGCCACAGTGCCACTTCTGGCTCTTTTTTTTGCTTATGGGGTGCTGAGGAATCAAACCCAGGGCCTCATGCATGCAAGGCAAGTGCTCTACCACTGAGCCACCTTCCCAGCCCCAAGTTTTTTTTTGGTTTTTTTCCCCCTTATGCTCTCTGCATTATTGTCTGGACCAGCCTAGCCCTAGATCCTCCTAATTAGGACTTCCATATAGATGTGGCCTCTATGCCAGATACTGGTTGTTGAATTGAGTGAATTTTTTGCCCAGACTCTTCTCTAACTATAATTCTATCTCTGCCTAGCAGGTAGCTGGGAAAACTGGTATGAGCCATACTCGAGAGCAGATAATTTTTGAATATATATAATAATCATCTAAGAATAAACATAGGAACACTTAAAAGTGTAATTAATTTTTATGTAGACATGGCGTACAATGCCTGTAATCAGGGCAGATTGGAAAGACTACCCAAAAAAGCTGAACACTCCAACTATGTAGAAAACATAGATGGCAGTACAAGTTATCTGGGTATAAATTTGTGGGCCTATTGGGAAATTAATTATATAAAAAGGGCTAGGGCCAGGTGCCAGTAGCTCTTGCCTATAATTCTAGCTACTCAGGAGGCTGAGATCTGAGGGTCCCGGTTCAAAGCCAGCGCAGGCAGGAAAGTCCGTGAGACTCTTGTCAACCCCCAGAAAACTAGAAGTGGCTCTGTGGCTCAAGTGGTAGAGCACTCACCTTGAGCTGAAGGCTCAGAGACAGCACTCAGGCCCAGAGTTCAAGCCCCATGGCCAACCAAAAAAAAGGGGGTAGGGCATAGCTCAAGCAGAAGAACCCTTAACTAGTAAGCAAATACCATGAATTTTAAAACCCCATTACTGCCAAAGATTAATTTCTAAAAACTTTACTACACTGAAAAAAAGAGATGAAATACTTTACAGCTACCCTGAACTTCATTATCTAGAATACAAAAACCTAAAATACTATTAATTGAAATATTTCCACACAATTCACATGTGCAACTTTACCACATTATACACAATGCTTACTGTCACTAGCACAAAAAATGAATGACAAGTAACTTTCAGTTATAATGAATTTAAATAATTTAAATATATTTGATTCTAATTGTCCTGAAAAATCATATTCCAGTACTACTCCCTCATCCATCCAGTTTTGCTTTTACAAGTTTCAGTTACCTATAGTCAACTGGGGCCTAAAAATATTAAATGGACCAGGCTCTGTTATCTCACACCTGTACTCCTAGCTACTCAGGAGGCTGAAATCTAAGGATAGTGTTTCAATTCCAGACTAGGCAAGAAAGTTCGTGAGACTCTGATCTGAAGTAGAGCTGTGGTTCAAATGGCAGAACACTAGCCTTAAGCACAAAAGCTCAGAGACAGAGCCTAGGCCTTGAGTTCAAGCCCCAGTACAGATAGACAGATTCAGAACTAAACTCAAAATTTCAAATTTTAATACTGTAACGTCTCTAGTTATTCTACTTTGTAATTATTGTTGTTAAACTCTTATGCCTAATTTATTAAAATTTACCATTAAAATTTACATAGAGAAAACACTACACCTAGTATTTCTACTATCTGCAATTTCAGGTATCCACTGGGGGTCTTGGTATGTGGTTCTATGAATGGGGCACTGTATTTCTACTTTATATCTACTAATTAATTCACTCTTAAAGCAAATACTTAAGAGTACAAAATTACATGCAATGCTAATTACAGTATACAGAAAAAGTAAGCAAACCTGTTCACTGCTGAGCATATTTGCTTTATCCATCATAAAAGCAAACTGGATACAATATGTTCCCACTTTGTTAGGAATTACTTTATCCCTAAATGGAAAAAAAAAAGTGGTAAGATATACTATAACTTCTAAGGCACCAATGAATTCAAATTTCCTTCCACAAGTAAATGAATAATGAAAAATCATTAACAATACTACATTCACCTTGATTCAAAATTTTTCTTACACACAGGCTAATTATTACCTAAACATACTTTCATACCAAGACTCTGTACATGGTTAAAAAAAAATTTTTTTAAAGAAGGGAAAGAACAGGAAATAAAGTTGAGAAAGTACAAGCCACCCTTACAGCTATCTAATTTTCAACTAGGGAGCCAAAAACATATCCATGAGAAGGTAAGTCTCAAACCTACCTAGGAGAAGATAGTCTCTTCAACAAATGGTGTTACAAAGACTGGTTTTTCTACTTGTAGGAGATTAAACTTTATCCCTAAATCTACCCTGTACAAAAATCAACTCCAAGCCAGGTGTTGATGGCTTACAGCTATAATTCTAAAATACTTAGGAAGCTGAGATTTAAGGATCATGGTATGGTTCAAAGCTTGTCTGGACAGGAAAGTTCATGAGACTTGTATCTCCAATTAACAAGTAAAAATCTAGAAGCAGAGCTGTGACTCAAGTGGTAAACTGCTAGTCTTGAGCACTGAACCTCAGAGACAGTGCCCAGGCCCAAAATTCAAGCCCCAGCCTAGCACCCCCTACTTCTCTCCCTATCCCCCCCTACTCTCCCTGGCCAGAATCAACTCAAATGGATTAAAAATGACAATAACTCTAAATCTAATGTGGGAGAAACAAAGAAAACTATGGAAATTACAGGCAAAGTAATACTTTCCAAATTAGGAGTCTAATTGCCTGAAATAAAGAGCATACACTGATAAATGGGACTCTACAAATTAAAGTCCCTGCATAGCAGAAGAAACAATAATTACCATAACCAAGAGACAAACCACAGAACAGGAGAAAATCTTTGCCTGCTATTCAATAGATAAGGGTAACCTAGGCTATATAAGGAGCTCAAAACACTTAAATGTGAAAGAATGAATAATCACAGCCAAATAAATAGGCAAGTAAATTGACAGTTCTCTAAAAAAAAAAAAAAAAAGCACAAATGGCAAAATACATTTTCAACATCATTAACCATAAAGAAAATTCAAATCTAGCTGGGCACTGATGGCTCATGCCTGTAATCATTGCTACTCAGGAGGATGAGATATCAGGATCATGGTTTGAAGCCAGTCTAGGCAGGAAAGTCCATGAGACTCTTAGCTCCAATAAACTACCCAGAAAAAGCCAGAAGTGATGCTGTGGTAGAGCGAGTACTAGCCTTGAGCACAAAGGCCTAGGGCAGCACTTAGGCTTTGAATTCAAGCCCCAGGACCAGAAAAAAGGAAAAAAGAAAATGCAAATCCAAATAATACTAAGATTGTTTCTTTTCCTAGTCAGACTGAGAATCAAGGAAATAACTGCTTAGAAAGATAAGAGGAAAAAAGAACTCTCATACACCTTTGGTGGAAATGTAAACTTGTGTAAACACAAAATCAGTAGAAAAGTTCCTCAAAAACTAAAAATAGGTCAACATTACGATCTCATTATACCATTATTTGGCATTATCCAAAAAAGTATAAATCAAAATACAAGAAAGACACTTGATCAAAATATACTTGTATTCATGCTTTCTTTTTTTTGCGGGGGGGGGGGACGGGGGCGGGGGGGGGGGTCCAGTCGTGGGGCCTAGGCCTGGGCACTGTCCCTCAGCTCTTCAGTTCCTTCCTTCAAGGCTGGCACTCTACCACTTGAGCCACAGCACCACTTCCAGTTTTTTTCTTTTTTGCTTATGTGGTGCTGAGGAATCGAACCCAGGGCTTCATGTATGCAAGGCAAGTGCTCTACCACTGAGCCAACTTCCCAGCCCCTGTATTCATGCTTTCTTAATGGCAACTCTTTTGTACAAAAAAACAACAACAAAAAGACACTAGCATATCCATGTTTATTGTAGCACTGTTCACAACAGCCAAACACCTTAGCTATAAATAACAGATAAATGGAAAGAAGATGGTACATATATATCATTGAATATCACACAGTCATCAAGAAAAAGAAAATGGTAGCATTTGCAAGAAAATGGATGGAACTCTAGAACATGGTATTAAATGAGATAAACCAAGCTAAAAACACCAAATATTTGTAAGTTTTCACTCATAAATGGAAGCTACATCTAAAATACATATACTTAAATGATTATGTGTATATATAAGTAAATACATGTTTATATGTATATATACACCTTGGTATATAATATGTACTGTACATACACAAACAGAAACACAGAACATGATCCTAATTATGGGACTACTATATAGGAGGATGAGGGAATGAAGGGAAAAAACAAAGATATGAATAATTTTGAAATATAGTGCAACTATGGATGAAGAGGTCTCAATGAAACCTATTGCTTAATAAGAGTAGGGGGAGAGGAAAGCAATTATTCTAAGAAAATATATATATGTTCAAAATACCATAACGAAATCCTTTGGCATAATTTATACACACACTAAAAAAAAAAAAAGGAAAGTAATAAGCTTGGATGGGAGAAGGGTACCAGTGGGACAAAGGAGGATTAATGAAAGGGTGAATGAGAATGAGGGCAATAGTTTCTTTGACATGTATGACAATAAAACAATGAAACCTGCTGAAATTGTTTTAAAAAGGGGGCAAGAGATAGGGTAGTGACAGAGAGTAATGTTTACATGTGCAGAAATGTTAAAATGAAAATCCTTCCTTGAACAACTGAATTATGCTAATATATATGTACTTTTTTCTTTTCATCATACATATATGATGAAAAAAGAAAATTCAAACTAAAACAGTATGATGCTGCTATTCAATCATCAGAATACTAAAGTTCAGATAGACAAAGTCAAGTATTTATGAATTACAGAGCAATGGCAACTCATATACACCACTGGTATGTACATTATATGGGCAAAAATGTATCAGAATTTTTGGCAGCAGCTACTAAAGCTAAACACATATTTATGTTTAGTTTCATTAAACATTTGACCCAACTGTATGTGTAAAGCTATCATATATTTACAAAATAATCTTTGTATATATTTTATATTATAGAAATATATGCTATATACATCATTATATATATATAATACATACTATGTGTATATATATATTTTGGGGGGGGGGGGGGGGTTGGTCATGGGGCTTGAACTCTGGGCCTGGGCGCTGTCCCTGAGCTCTTTAGCTCAAGGCTTGTGCTCTACCACTTGAGCCACAGCACCACTTCTGGTGGTGGTTTACTGGAGATTAGAGTTACATAGACTTTCCTGCCCAGGCTGGCTTTGAAGTGCAATCCTCAGATCTCAGCCTCCTAAGTAGGATTAAAGGCATGAGCCACCAGCTATCTTTCCAAAACAGTATTTCTAACAGTTCCAAACTGAGAACGATGTAAGTAGTTATCAATAGAATGGTTTACTGGTTTAATATAATGTATTAAGTATACACTTTGGATTACTACATAACAATGAAAAAACATTAGACAATATAAACTAATTAAAATGTAGGTGGAGGAGCACTAAACAAATACAGTGTTTTGGTTCTCTTAAAAATTTAAACAAATCAGCCAGTCACCAGTGGCTCATGCCTGTAATTCTAACAGGAGACTGAGATTTGAGGATCATGGTTTGAAGCCAACCTGAGCAGAAGTCCCCCTGAAACTTATCTCCAATTAACCACACAAAAAAATCTGAAGTAGAGCTGTGGTTCAAAGAAGTAAAGCATTAGCCTTAAGCAAAAGAGCTTAGGGACAGTGGCCAGGCCTGAATTCAAGCCTTACAACCAACAGAGAAAAAAAAAAAAAAATTAAAGACATCATAGGGAAAAACTAAACAAACCATAAAACCCCAAAAACTTTCTAAATAATTTAGAATTCCATGTAATAAAGTATAAAGGGCTATATTACAATACAGTCATTCTTCTCATGACTTTGAGTTTCTAAGGATAATACAACATCACAACTGTCTCCATATCATATTATAAAACTCTATTAAAAATATGCAATTAATGTCTTTCCCCCAAAACAATTTCCCAGCAAAAATGAGATACTAATAACATTTTTTGATAAAGAATTACTTTCCCTTAGAATATTCCCTTAGGCAATATTTTTTTTACTTTTTTCTTTTTTGTCGGTCGTGGGGCTTGAACTCTGGGCCTGGACGCTGTCCCTCAGCTCTTCAGCTCAAGGCTAGCGCCCTACCACTTAAGCCATAGCAGCAGGAATATTTCTAAGGCTGAATTGCTCTGTCACAAAATATGCTTGAAAACAGAAAATAATTTGAAAAATACCTGAAATAGAAGCAGCCTTCTTCCTTGTCATTATCTTTTATTTTATTGCAACTAAATGTTTCTGCCTAGAAAGGTAAAAAGAAGGAAGCAATGCTCATTAACAGAAGACATTTAAGATGAAAACTTACTAATATGTGAAATGATTGTGAATCAGACTGTATTTCCAATTCTAAATATATAAGAACACATGCAAGTATTTTAAAACACATGTATTTCACAACAAGAAAAATCACAATTGAAAGATAGCACATACATGATGTCTATGGTGGCAATTGTATTTTAAGGTGATAGCTTTACAAGACTGTTAGTCTAAATTAAGGTTGCTCCCAGCTATTAACCTTAAGACTATGAAACTAACTTCTAAAGCAGATATAAATAAACCATAAATGCTGAAGTGGATTATTAAATTGGGATTTGCACTGACAAATTTTAAGATTTGTTTACAATAAGAGACGCATTTCCAATTTGTCCTACATAGTATAAGAAGCCAACAGCTTATGTGGCTATTAAGTATTTGAAATGTGGTTATCTGAAATGAAATATATTCATAAGACATGCTAAATTTATAACATGGCAAAATGGTAATTCCTACTGTATTAGATTAAAAATATTTAATTTTACTTCACTGGGAGCAGTGGTGCAAGCTGATAATCTCAGCATTCAGGAGACTGAGACAGGATGATTATGAGTTCCAGGCCAGCTATGAATAAGGCCTTGGCCAGATTTTTCTAATCAAGGCTGGTACTATACCACTCAAACCACAACTCTACTTCTGGCCTTTTGCAAATAAATTTCAAGGCATTTTCTGCACAAGCTGGCTTCAAACCAGGATTCTAAGGTTTTACCTTACTGAGTAGCTAGGATTACAAGTTAAAAAACAAAAGTTTTCTCTAATTTCTTTTTTCTCTCTTTCTCCCTTCCTTCCTTCCTTCCTTCCTTCCTTCCTTCCCTCCTTCCCTCCCTCCGTCCCTCCCTCCCTCCCTCTCTTTCTTTCTTATGCCAATCCTGGGGCTTGAATTCAGGGCCTGGGCATTGTGCCTGAGCTATTTTTGTGCTATCACTTGAGCTATAGCTTTACTTCCAGCATTTTGGAGGCTAACTAGATATGAGAGTCTCATGGAATTTACTGCTCCAGTTGGCTTAGAATTGTTATCCTCATATCTCAGCCTCCTGAGTAGCTAAGGTTACAGGTGTGAGCCACAAGCACCCAGCTTTACTAATTTCTTTTAATCTTTTTTTTTCTGGCTATCAGAAAAGTACCACATGTGATATTTCCAATAGATGGTTCTGTTCCATGTATTTAAACTTGTCTCCTCACATCCCTCTATCTCTATCCTGTAGTTTATCAACATCTTTGTGCTCTAATTTTCTACATTATTTATATTCTATATATTTACACACATATATTTGACTTTGGACCTGGGTGCTGTCCCTCAGCTCTTCAGCTCAAGGCTAGCACTCTATCACTTGAATTGTGAAATTCTGTAAATGCAACATGAACGAAGAAATGGTAACAATTGAGGCGTTATGCTTTTTCTGCTCATGTAGTGCTGAGGAATCAAACCCAGGCCTCATGCATGCAAGGAAAGCATTCTACCACTGAGCCGCCTTCCCAGCCCGGCTACTATTTTTCAATATCATCAATGTTCTGGATGCAGAGGTAGTTTCCTATAATCCTTGGCTTCTTAGGAGGCTGAGGAGAGGACAGCCAAAGTGACAGTGTAGAATCCCATTTCAAGAAAACAACAGGAAAGTATTAACACTTAATTGAAATATGCTGATATATTTTTCTCTTTATATCCCAAGAAATTAAGATCCATTTCTAGTTCTCAAATATATACACTGTTTATTTTCACACTAAATTAGGCTTAATTTTTCTTTAAGTACTGGGAGATGAATTTAAGGCCTTATGCTAAGCAAGTGCTCTACTACTGAGCCACTTCTCCAGCCTTTTGTTGCAGTGGTTGTTTTGAGTCTTGATTCCAAGGCATATGATCTTGGATCAAAATCTAACTATTTTTGGCTTTTGGTGGTACCTGGCATGAAGGACATACACCACCATACCAGATGATTCTTCAGAGGAGTTGGAGTCTTGCAGACTTTTCTGCCTAGGTTGGGCTAGAAATGAGATCTTCTAATTATCAGAATCTCATGATGCTAAGCTGAGAAGAGTTCTTTTGAAATTTTGTCTGCACTGGGCTCCCATTCTCAGCCTCCCAAGTAGCTAAAATTACAGTTAAGAGCCCTGTCCCCAGCAATTTAAGTTACATTTTTAACTTCTAAAAATGCTTCTTTTTACTCACATTTGCAGGTGGTCGATTCACATTGCCAGTCAGTTTCCACATTTTCATGGAAATACGTGCAGCATTAATATTTTTTATGGTACTTTCATCTTCAGAAATAACACTAACCATAAAATCTGTCAAGATAAATATAAAGCAATCTTCTTATTTTTTAGTAGGAATATTTTGAAGAATAAGAAAATAAGACTATTTTTTAATCAATATTCCCAACAATCCATCTGGAAAACTTTCCAATCTGGGGCTAAATCTGGACATTAAGCTCTCCTCCAGAAATTTAACAAACATATCTTTGTTACTGTTCATAGTCTGACATAACGTAAATTCTAGCCAATTGGCCAAGACATCACATGCTATATGTATTAGAACAGAACAGTTACTTCTTCCTTATGATTTGCAATAGCATACAGAAAACTATATTAGACAATGCTCTCATCTTATTTACTATCGGTATATGAGATTTGTCATCTGTGACCGATTTTTCAATTATAAAGTATTATGTTCTCTCAAACAGATTTAACAAAGAAATTATAAAAAATAAGACCAGTGGAATTGTACACTAAACAACTGTCCTCTAATGTTAAATAAACAATTGACTCCAAAAAAAAAAAACATAAAAGGCTATTGACATGTAATTTAATTGTTAAAAAATTTGAAGTCTTTTTTCACTACTCATCTATATATACGCATTTATCCCCTTCAATAAGACAGAAGTCTTCCAGGAAATTACTTGTGTAAAGCAAATACTGATTTCTTATTGATTTGTCAAGAGCCACTAAGTTGCTTATGTAAATTATACTACACTCATTGATAAACTGAATACTCTGACTATAATTAATGGCCCAACAGAATAGATATTCACTAAGTATTTGGTGTTCTGAAATCTTTAATCATAAATCCTGATATGATTCTTTCCATGCAAATTAAGTTGTAAGATATTGGTTCTGATAGATTTATCACAAAATATTAGTGTAGCATAACGCCTCAACTGTCACCATTTAGTTCATGTTGCATTTAATTCAATAAATTAAGGAAGATTTCATGAGCTAAAGCTACCAGTTTGTATATGTACTTTAGGTTCATTCTTAACATTAAAGCATTGTACAAAGAGGTGTTAAATCATTTATTTTCTTTGCATTTAAAAGTCACAGATAAGCATGCTTGATATTGAATAACACATGTAAATAATCATCCCACAAATTATCATTACTGATTTTTTAAATTCTGTGAAATTCTCACCAGTGAAAACATCCCCTGCTAAAAAGGAAGCATCTTTGTCATATTTAACGTTGAGACGAATGGGTTTTTCAGGGTCTGGAAGAACCATTAACTTAATTACAGGTCCTTCTATGGTACTCTTGTTATAGGTGGCTTTAACCTGGATAGTATGTTCTCCCCTAAGAACAATAGAAAAAAATGAATGGGGAAGAGAGATTAAAACTACATTAGTAAAACTCAAAAAATTCAGAGACAACTTAGACAACTTGTTTAATAGACAACGTTTAATTAACTATTTTAGGGAGACTAAGTCAATTTGTGTAATATCAATATCTATTAAATTTCTCCTTACCTAGAAGCGAAAACAAGGAACACTCCAAAATTAGCCCTGCCTTTTTCATCTGTTTTATGTTGCTGGTTTGAAGGTGTGAGCTAAAACCAAAACAAAATTTTTTCAAGGTTAATTACAAAATTCTATAGATCAATAAGGATATCTTTTTTTTTTTTTTGGTCAGTCGTGGGTCTTGATCTCTGGGCCTGAGCACTGTCCCTCAGCTCTTCAGCTGAAGGCTAGCGTTCTACAACGTGAGCCACAGAGCCACTTCCAGTTTTCTGGTGGTTAACTGAAGATAAGAGTCTCATGGACTTTCTTGCCCAGACTAGTTTTGAACCATGATCCTAGATCTCAGCTTCCTGAGTAGGATTATAGGTGTGAGCCACCAGTGCCTGGCAAGCATATCTTCTTTTATTACAATGTTAATATATTCCTATTTTGTAAATTATATTTGTTTGCATATACTGCTAAAATGTAAAAAAAAATCATATTAGTTGAAATAATCACATAATAATCACATAATCTAAAATTAGTTGAAATAATCACATAATAATCACATAATCTAAAAGAATACTTATTAAAGCCCACCAAAGTAAAATTTCATATTAAAACCATCAAGCTGTAAAATTCTAAGTTCACTGTGTAGATATCACTGATTAATTAAATGAAATTTGGATACTAATGGTATATACCAAAGCTGGGGCAGGAATGGAAGAGCGCACTGGAGAAATACATGCACATATATTCACGTGTAGGGATCTTAACACTATCTCTGTTCTTTGTATTTATCTTGAATATTTACTCGGGTGTGCTTCTTATATCTTTACTATGATATTACTTCATAGTGATGATTAAACTTCCACCTTCAAGTGATTAGTGATCAGTGGTCACAAATCCAAATAACTGGACAGAGAATACCAGTCTTTAATAAATGTTTCTCTAGAAACTAGAATGACACCCTTATTCTGAGGCTGAAAATAATCATGACTTAGCTTTCTTGGAAGCACATATGCAGAAAGAAAGTGAATTGGAAATTTTAACGGCAGAAAATCAGACTCTCCTAAACTCTTAATACTCATTTCTGCTTAAGAAGACCAAAGAAACCGGGCGCTGGTGGCTCATGCCTGTAATCCTAGCTACTCAGGAGGCTGAGATCTGAGGATGGCGGTTCAAAGCCAGCCCGGGCAGGAAAGACCGTGAGACTCCTATCTCCAATAAAACCACCAGAAAACCGGAAGTGGCGCTGTAGCTCAAGTGGTAGAGCGCTCGCCTTGAGCTGAAGAGCTGAGGGACAGCGCCCAGGCCCAGAGTTCAAGCCCCACGACCGACAAAATAAAAATAAAAAAAAAAAAAAGACCAAAGAAAATAGGTATAGTATCCACACTTGCAGTTCTAGCACTGAGTAGTATGAGGCAAGAGGCTCAATCAGAAGGCTGGCCTGGACAACAGAAAGAGTAAGTTTAAGTAATACATACTTCCGGGCGCTGATGGCTCATGCCTGTAATCTTAGCTACTCAGGAGGCTGAGATTTGAGGATGGCAGTTCAAAGCCAGCCTGGGCAGGAACGTCCGTGAGACTCTTATCTCCAAGAAACCACTAGAAAACCAGAAGTGGCGCTGTGGCTCAAGTGGTAGCACGCTCACCTTGAGCTGAAGAGTGTAAAGACAGAGCCCAAGCCCAGAGTTCAAGCCCCATGACCAACAAAAAAAACAAAGAATAATAATATATACTGACCAAAAAGAGGCAATAATTGGGGAGAAAAAAAATGAAGAGTACATAAAACTATAGGATAAAGTACTATATTTAAACTTGTCTCATTTACTCCTGGATCCAATGTCTCTCAACTCATTTTTCTCAAGTATTTCTCCTATCTAAATCCCAAATCCTTGTCAGAAAATGCTTAGTTCATGTTGCATTTAATTCAATAAATTAAGGAAGATTTCATGAGCTAAAGCTACCAGTTTGTATATGTACTTTAGGTGCATTCTTAACATTAAAGGATTGTACAAAGAGGTGCTAGACATTGAATTCAAGCCCATTATGAAAAAGCACTCTACCAATGAATTACATACATCCCCAGTCCTAGAGAACTGTAAGTAAAAACCTCTCAAGAAGTTTATAAAACTCACCTTTAAACTGCTGGCTTTTATGAGACTTATTTTTACATTTGGTACTAGTGCTGGATTGTCCCACTGATCACAAAGTTGAACAGCAAGAGGACGCTCTAACTCTCTTCCATTAATCACTGGAATGGCCTGTAATAGATTAAAATCTTAAGCAACATCAAAGCATGTGCCAAACAACATAACTACTTGTATAGTTACAAAACAAATCACTTAATTTTATCTGTTATAGTCAAAAATCATTTCATCATTAAAAAATTTGAAAGCCAATTAAATAATCACAAATCATTTCTAAAATAATGTGATTTTTTAAAAAAGGAAACAGTACTTGACATTACTGGCTTCTAACATATTTTCCTACAAATTAGACATTGGTTATCTTTGGTTCTATTCCTACCAATATTCACCTCTCTGCCATTGTACATTAAGCAGTAATATAGTTTCACAACCTTAGATTAAGATAACAATTAATAATTCATATTGTCTCAGTAATATAGTTTTCACAACCTTAGATTAAGATAACAATTAATAATTCATATTGTCTTAAGTTTTCAATGAGTTTTGCTTTCTCTCTAGAAAATATATGCAAATCTTCTAGGAATCTGCCTGCTGGCAGCAACTTGACAAAGTTGCTACCAAGCAACTTGACAAAGATCCCATCCTATGTTCTATTTTAAAGATTAAAAAAAAAAAAGGCAGATAGGACTGGGAATGTGGCTTGGTGGTAGAGTGCTTGCCTAGAATGCATGCAGCCCTGGGTTCAATTCTTCAGTACCACCTACACAGAAAAAGCCAGAAGTGGCACTGTGTCTCAGGTGGAAGAGTGCAAGCCTTGAGCAAAAGAAGCTCAGGGACAGTGCTTAGGCCCTGAATTCAAGCCCCAGGACCGGCAAAAAAAAAAAAAAAAAAGAGAGAGAGAGAGAGAAAAGTTTTGAAAAAAAAGCAGATAGAAGTCAGGCACTGGTGGCTCAAGCCTATAATGTTAACTACTCAGAAGGCTAAGATCTGAGAAAAACAGTTCCAAACCAGCCTGGGCAGTTTAAGAGACCCTTCCAACTATACAGGAAAAGCTAGAACTGGGAGGTATAGCTCAAGTGGTAGAGTGCCAGCAATAAGTAAAAAGCTAACTGGGAACATGAGTCCCAGAATTCAAGCCCTAGTACTGGCAAAAAAAAACAAGAACAATAACAACAACAAAAAAAAAAACATGCATATATACAAAAAGATGGGAGAACTACAGAGCAGTAAAAGAAAGCTAATTTATTACCTCAATCCTACACATTTTATTTGATTGATTGCCAAAATGAAAAATAAGTACTGCTGCACTATGAGTAAGGATATTAAGAGACAAGAATCTTGACATTAAGTTAATATATACTTGTTTAGCTTGTCTATCATTAACTTTAACAAAGCTACAATTCATGAAATTTACTAAATTCACTAAATTACATCTACTAAAAATTATAAAAAGCTTGAATTAAGATATACTGAGCTCCAAGTTTTAAGCATATACTACTTTATTATCAACTTCTATGTATGCTTTTTAAATAAATTTATGATACTGTCTTTACTTCCCAAGTACTGATTACAGGCATAGGTAACCGTGTCCAGAAGTACTATCATGCTATCTACTTCTATCTTTTAGAAAGTAACTTTAACCTAAACTAGTAGTAATAAAGTCTTCCAAGAAATAATGAAAAATAATAAAACCCAAAATTTAATGGTAAGAATGTGTTCTCTGATATTTTAATCTTGCCATATTATTTTACAAATTTTAGTTTTTCTCACTTATAAAAAGTACTGTTTGTGTATACACACTGAGATTTTAAAAATGATGATCATCATAGGTGCTATATTAGTTCCCTGTTTGCATATGAAGGGCTGACAAGAATTCAGAAACTCTGGGAATACCAGATATGAAATACTTAATTCCCACCCTTGTATGTATTAAGCCCATGTATGTGGTATAAATATATACATATTAATAACAAATGGAAAACGAGTTTGGGGTCTTATTTTAAAGCTTTTGGATTTGTATGATCTCTGCAAATCTTAAAGTTCCAAGTTAACAAGCTAACATTTTCATTTATATTTTTCCCTTCAAAGTTTATACAAAAAGATGGAGGAAAAAAAGCATACAACTGTTTCTGAAAATATTCAGTTATTTTCACTGATGAAAGAAATGGTTTATGAGAACAGAGATAACCTAGTTTAGTAATATTAAAGTAAATATATTGACTATAATGTTAATTTATGTAATATAAACACTCCCAGATAAAAATCAATGTATTCTGTACAATAAAATTTCTGCTAATACACTATTATAGGAAAAAATTTGGTTTTTTGTTTTTTTAAACACATTATTGTAACCAGCTTATGTGCTTTCTAAACTGACAATAAAAGGCAATATAAAACTAGGTTCAAGCACAAAAACTTTTTTTAGCTGACTGGTGGCCCTTTACTAAGGTATTTCCATCTACTATCTGGCCATTTAAGTTCATTTTCCTTTATACAGTAAACACTGCAACTTGACCTACCTATACTTAAACTCCTACCTTGCCATAATTGAACACCAGAATCTGAATTATCCCAGACCCATCGGAGATTTTTAAATGTTCTCACACCAAAAGAGTATGTGAAGTAATGTTATGGTTAGTTATGACAGCCAGTCCACAATGTATAATTATTTGAAAACATTTTGTACATGACAAATACGCTTTTCTCAAAAATAAATATTTTTAAAAATTGGAAATCTAAAAAGATTAGTTAACAAATAAACATTAAGATTTGGCTGACATAAAATTAGCATATAAATAACTTTCATAGGAAGATATGAACATGTATGGGTATAAAGACCTGACTCCTGGAATATGCTTTTAAAGACTATTAAAAGCCAGGCTGGTAGCTCATTCCTACAATCCTACTCAGGAGGCTGGGATGAGGATGGAAATTCAAAACCAACCTTGCCAGAAAGTCTATGGACTCTTAAGGCTGATTGATCAGCAGTAAGCTCAAAGTAGAGTTGTGGCTCAAGTGGAAAAGCACCAGCTTTGAGCAAAAAAGCCAAGCTGAAAGTGCAAGAACCTGAGTCCAAGCTCAGTACTGGCACCATAAACAAACAATAAAATCACTACCAACAATAACAAAAAAGCCAATGAAGTTTTTAAGGCAGTTGAGATAGTTCATAGCAATCCTAACCATTCAAGAGGCTGAGGTTGGGTTGACTGCCATTTGAGGTCTATCTGGGAAAAAACTTGCATCTCCATCTAATAGGTATGATGACACTTGCCAGTTATCCTAGCTACATAAAAGTATAAATATAAGAATAGTGGTCTAGGTTGGCCAGGAACAAAAGGAGAAACTCGATTCAAAAAACAATGGAAGCATAAGGGGCCAGAAGTAGAGCTCTAGTAGTAAAGCCCTTTCCCTACAAACTCTTGAGTTTAAATCCCAGAACCAAAATCCAAATAACAAAAACAAGAAAAAAGCTTGTAAGTTAGGGTGAGAATAACCATGTAAAATTGGCAAACAACAGTAACTGGTAAAACTTAGTAACTGAACACTGAGGTTCATTTTACTATGCTTTTTATTTTTATGTATGCTTGAAAATTTCTTGAATGTTCTTTTAAAATTTTGAATTATAACACTCATTTCATAGCAAATTAAAAGTGGTCAATTAAATAATGAAGCATTAAGACTCTTATTATTTAGAGACTTTTATTAGCTAATTCTTTTGTTACTGGTAGATACAACTATTTCTTCAACAAAATATATCCTTTCTAATCCACTGATTACGTGATTAAACCACACAGTATTGAATTCTTTTAGTTGAAACATGAAAACACTTACCTCTTTTAGTTCTGGCCAGTCTATCAGGGTAAGTTTAGCAGGAGGTCCAGAAATTAGCTGCACTCGAATAAAGTCAGAAAACTCACGCCATGCAAAACAAAGATCCTTATTTCCAGGAGGGCCTGGAATAAACTTTATGCCTCTTACACTTATACTTTGTGTGTTTTCCTATTGAAAAAAAAAATACCAAGAAAGACCAACTGATATTTTGATAAAATAGTTTTGTCATTGAGCCCTGGCCACACTGATGTTTCTAGGTAACAGAATAATAAACAGATTACACTCCTGCCAATAGTGAGAGATAATAAATTTTATTTGCAGAAGAGGAAAAACTGATTTTTTTTTCCCCTCCTTCTTTTGGAGGAAACCAGAAGGCTGTGGCTACATCATTTTATTTTATCTCTTCCTAATTTTCCTCTTCCTTATATAGGTGGAAGTATCCTTTATTCAAAATGCTTCAGAACAGAAGTATTTCAGATTTGGGAGTTTTCTAGATTTTAGAGTACTGGTGTGTAGACCTTACCCAGTTAAGTATTACTAATTTGGAAATCTGAAATACTCCTTTGGAGTATTATGTCAGTGCACAAACTGTTTTGGATTTCAAGAGCTATTGTGATTGAAGTGAGGATAGGAGTATACTTTTCAGAGACCAGCCCAGATAGTCTCCCAAGTGTGAGACTCTCTAAAAAATAAACTAAAATCAGGGGCTGGGAAGGTGGTTCAGTGGTAGAGTGCTTGCCTTGCATGCATGAGGCCCTGGGTTCAATTCCACATCACCACATAAGTAGAAAAGGCTCTGTGTCTCAAGTGGTAAAGCGCTAGCCTAGAGGTGAAGAGCTCAGGGTCAGCAGCCCAGCCCCAGAGTTCAGGCCCCACAACTGACAATAAATAAAATATATCTATATCTATCTATCTATATACATATACACATACATACATACATACCAAAATCAAAAGGACTAGGGCAAGGGTTCAACTGTCACAGCACTTGCCCAAACAGTTAAGCCCTGAGTTTAATCTCCAATACCACCAAAAAGCAAAAAAATATTTTGGATGTCAGAGCATTTGTATTAGGGACTTGCAAATCTTTCATCCAAAAAGCCAAGCATATGCCTACCTGTTAACCATTACAACTGTGTTCTTTCCTTGTTGGCAATGGTCTTCACCAGATATCTACATGGCTTTAAGTTATTTACACATATAATATCTTAATAAAACGAGTCTTGCCTAACCACCCTAAATAATGGCACACCTTTCCTATTTTATTTTTCCTCTTTTTACTTTTTTTTTAATCTACTGTATACTCCATCCCCTGCCCAAGCAAGGTTGCGTCCCCTAAAGAGGCTTTTGATTCAACAGACTGTTGAATCTCTTACTTAAAATCATGCCTAATATGTCATATTAATGAGAATCAATAAAACTAATCAGTAATATTTACAATGTGATTAAATGACCTAAACTGATTCCTACTAGCACAACACTAACGTACTGACATTTTAATTTGAGGCTCTTGACCATTCAATCATCTTAAATTCCTACTAAGTACAAAGCTACATAAAAATTTAAAAATCAGACATAAAATTTCATGTTTTATGTTCTGAAACAACTGTTTGTAAAGCACTGTATGGAAAAAAAGGCATTATAAATGAACAATCCTTCCACACCATCCCCTCCCCCCCCCCAAACAATGAAAGGGCTGGGAATATAGTTCAGTAGTAGAGTATCTAGCTAGTGTGTATAAGGTCCTGGGGTTTGATCCCAGGCAGGCACCAAAAAACACAAAATAAAGTGAAACAGGAAGTGGTGCTGTGGCTCAAGCGGTAGAGCACTTGCCTTGAGCTGAAGAGCTGAGGGACAGTGCTCAAGACTAAAGTTCAAGCCCCACAACCAACCAACCAAAAAAAAAAAAAAGCTCAAGGACAGCACTCAACCCCTGAGTTCAAACACCAGCCCAAAAACAAGAAAAAATATCTTCATATAAAGTGAAACAATCCCAATTTAAACAATATTGCTAGGCATGGTAGTACTTTCTGTAATATCAGCACTCTGGCGGCAGAGGAAAATAACAAGTTCAAGAGCAGCCTAGGTTATATAGTATTCAGGACCAGCCTACGCTACACAATAATACCCTGGTTTAAAAAGCAAACTTCTGGGGATGTAACAAAACCATAGCGCATCCTAGGATTCCTATTTTATAGCAAAAATGACCATTGATTCCTTTTCAAAGTCATGTTGAAAGTTGCTCTAATTTTATTTCAAATCTTAAAATTAAAATTGCATTTGCAAATTGTAAAATTTATCTTTGTACAAATATTTGTATGAACTAGTACAAAAACTTAAATGAAAATTACGAAAGTAAATCAAGGCAGTATTCAGAAGTTGAGAAATGATAGGAAGAAAGAAGCTTACTTAGTTGAAGAGCTATGGAGAAAGAAATTTGTGAGATTATATTGAAGTAGAATATTACACGGTATTATAGGCCATACTAAGACAGATTTTTAAATGTGGTAGTATATAAAATGCTGATAGGTTTTATGACAGCATAAAGTACAAATTGAAAACTGACCACTAGATTTGGACAGATAGAATAGAACAACATAATCAGTGTGTTTTTCTAGAGAATGTCAGAAAGAAATGTGAAAAATGCATACACAACCATTCCAAGAAGATCTTCTATAAAATGGAAAATCTTGCTTATAGAAAGCACAAAGGTAATAGACAGGAGTACATGAGTCAAATTATATGCTGATTGGAATAGAGTAGAAACAATGAAGATCTAGAAAGACAAAGGTTAAAAAGAGTAGGAGTCTGTGAATAGAATAACAAAAAGTAGGATTGTTTACAAATGACAGGACATTAGTAGATGTAGTAGATGTGGTCGCTCAGACTTCTCTGTCTGGGAATTACCTTTGATTCTGAGTAGCCAGAAGTGAGGTCAAAGCAAGAGGATTTGAGATCCGACTCATTCAAAAGAACAAATACACCCCCATTCCTCAACCACAACTTTTATTTTTCAAGCTAATTTCAACTGCAGCTGTAAAGTTTATTAGTTTTCTCTTCAAAATCCTATTTAGGACATGAGCACCAAGAAATTTGACTTGATAGCTACTTGTAAAGTATCCAAATACACATATCCCAAAATATTTATGGAGAATACAGCATTTACAATTTTCTTCAAAATGTTTATGTTAATAGCTAAACATCAGTGAGTGGCTCATGCTTTTAATCCTAGCCACTAATGGGTGTAAGATCTAAGAGGACTGGAATTTGAAGCCAGCTTGGCTTCAAATGTCTGAGAGACAGCATCTCCAAAATAATAACCAGCAAAAAGCTATACTGAAGGTATCTTTGAAATGGTAGAAACTTAAGTGTGTTCCAATGCCTGGAACCACTCCTCACCTAGACCCTCAACCACCCAAAAGAGCTACAAGCAAAACACAAAAACTAATCATGTTATTTCTGTGATTCTATTTATTTATGTATAAAAGTGGTTTTTATGGCAATGCTGGGAATTGAACCCAGGACTTCAGATATACCATGCAACCATGCAAGTCCTTTGCCACTGAGCTATATCCCTGGCCTGAAAATATCCACTGTAAAATTTTAATGTCTTTTATGAGTTCTCCGATTAAAAGACAAAGGTCAATAAGACTAGGGCACAGATCAAGTGGTAGAGTACTTGCCTAGCAAGATTTAAATTCAATCCCCATTCCAAAAAAAAAAAAAAAATTAAAGAAAATTAGCTGCAAAAACCACTTAAATTTTATTTTCCCCCCAAACATCTCAACACAGAACAAGAAACCAAATGTAGTTATACCTGCAAAGTAGTTTTCAAATTTGAGCTATCAAGTCCAACCCCAGCAATCGATAAGGCAGATAAGGAACTTGGTGAAAATGCCGGTACCTGATTTCCATACTGATCTGTGATGATCATAACTATAAAGGAAAAAAATTTTTTAATGTTTTTTGAAAGATATCTACAACAAACATTAAAAATGTACTTAAAAACTTGAATCTTTTACATAAATCATTTTTGGTACCAAAAACGCTATACACATTTCTTTTGTAGTCATCACAAATTTTTATGAGAATATTTAGTAACCAGATTATCATTTTTCTGGGGAAGAGAAGGGGAAAGGAACCCAGGGCCTCACCAGTGAATTAGTATATTTAACACCTAAAGCATGTTTTATAATGAAAATATTTTAACATTATGTAATTTTGTAGGTAAAAGAAAAATACAGAGCTGAGATTCACCTGTCATTCCAACTACACAAAAGTCTGAAATTGAGAGGATCACATTTCCAGGCTGGCTTGGGCAAAAGACTCCTAAAGATTCCATAAGATGAGGTCTTAATAAAAGAAGCTGGATATAATGACATGCACCTGTCACTCAGCAAAGGTTGGAAGTCGTAACTAGAAGGATCAAGATCCAGGCAATAGCACAAATTAAAAACCAAAACCCTATCTCACAACAGCCAGTGCAAAAAAAGGGCTGGATTTCTGCCTTAGCAATAGAGAGCTTGACTAGCAAGAAGAGGCACTTGAGTTTACATCCAATATTACCCCCAAAAAAGATTAAATATACAAAATTATTTTTAGTGTACAGAAATGCAATTACATTTATTTGCAATAACTAGTATATATCTGAGACAAACAGAAACTGTCATACAAGCTGATGTTAGGCGAAATGAAACCCAAGATAAGGGTTTAATGTTTTTTTCTTTCTTGTGATTGTTTCCAACATATTTGTAAGATGATTTCTTTGTTGCTTTGTATGTACCTCCCCCAGGGTAAAGCCCTGCTTTTACTGTATTTGATGTTGATGTAATTTGTGGAGGGGAAGGGAAAAAACAAGGTGTTTAAATAGGATTACAGGTGGACCCATTACAACAATGAGATGTACAAGATATTATGTCGAAAAACGAACTTTACAACTTTGGCGGGGTGGGGG